TGGTAGAGAATTCAGCTCAGTTCTGACATCATCTATCCCGGATAGCATCAGCTTCCACAGGCTAAGGGCTCCATCCCACCCCCTATCAGATGCTAATTCCAAGGCCAGGCTTGTACTTCTGACCAATGGGCTACCTCCAGCTCAGGATGCCAACCGCAAATCCAGGTTGTCGCCCACACTCCTGAGGGACTGCTCTCTATTGAGGTTCCCAAGATCCCCCCTTGGGTTCAGTTAATGTACTAATTGGAGATTGGCTCACAGAACCAGAGAAACACATTACGAAGCCACTGGCTTACTGTAAAAGGATGTGACTCCAGAAACATGAGGCAAGGCATAGGGCAGGACATGGTCCTTCTATGTCTCTCCCATGCTCTGTGTTTCCGTGTCTCCATGTACTCATCAGCCAGAAGCTCTCTGAACCCCGTCTTTTTAGGGACTTCGTTACATAGGCATGATACAATCATTGGCCATTGGCAACTGATTCAACCTCCAACCTCTCTCCCCTCCCCAGAGGTCAGGGGTAGATTCTAGACTCAATCTAACACATGCTCGGTTCCACTGGCAACCAGCCCCCATCCTTGGAGGAGTTCCAAAAGTCATCATTAGCATAGCAACAGACACCTTTATCACTCTCACTACTTAGGAAATTCCATGGGTTTGGAGTGTTCTGTGCCAGAAAAGGGAGAAGACCAAATAAATATTTCTTATAAATTGCAACATGGCAGGTCTTTAAAAAGATAAGGTACACACCTATTTTGGATACTTCAGCAATAAGTTTTTTTCTTTCTCAAAATGTATGGATAATATATTCAGCCATTAAACAGGCCTGTTCCCCTTTTGGCATATTCTTTTAAAATATAATTTATATCACTAGGACAATTACACACAGAAAAAGTGGCTGTGTTCATTTATTGCTTTAGTTACCTGTATTCTGTTCCTCTTAGCAAAAGACACTCTTCACCCAGCTTCTAAACTCAAGAGCTCTCCTTGATAGTCAAGCTTAGACTATCAGCTGCCCATCCTTAAATTCCATCGAAGAGAGCCAATGAAATCAAAACATGTTTAATACTTACCACAGGCGATGGCTTGCTATAAATTCTACAGATGGAAGAAAGCATAAAATCCTGTCAGTAGAGTTTATAACTTGGCTATGGATGTACTCTCAAATTCTCATTGCTGTAGGCCTGATGGTCAAGTTCTTCCCACCCCAAATGAGCTTGCCTGACAGCCCATCTTGGGTCACGACTTTTGCATTTGACTATTGTTTTCATTGTTGTTGTTAATCCTCACCCGATGATATTTTTTTAACATTGATTTTTAGACAGAGTGAAGGGAGGGTAGAGATACAGAGAAACATTGATGTGAGAGAAACACAGAGATTGGGTGCCTCCCACACAGGCCTGGACTAGGGTTAAGGAGAGAGCCTGCAACCGAGGTACGTGCCTGGAATCAAATCCAGGAACCTTCAGTTTGCAGGTCGACACTCTACCCACTGAGCAAAACTGGCCAGGGCCAACTGCTGTTCTTAATCACCCTTAACTGGGCCTCGCTGCACCTGCTCCATCCTCAGTCATCTGTCACATTCACATCACTGTCGGGGGGATTTAGGGTGCTCTTTTCAAATCAAGGACCTAACTCATCATTTTTAATATCCATTTCTCTTGGCACTGGTTTTCTTCAATCAGTCAAAAAACAGAAGTCAGGGAGCAGGAGGTAGTGGAAACACTGCTATTTCAGAAGCTGCTGATAGTGCACAGTGACTGGTATTGCTGCCAGGAGGTATCTATTGAAAAGTCAGCTTCTCTAATATTTACATTTTCTGAAGATTCCTGCATTACATCCTCCTTACATCCTCCTCAGCACAAAGGCAACAGCGGCTCCACCGGCCAGGTCTTGGATGCAGGCGACCTGACACCAATGCAGCGCTTGCCACCTCCCTTCTCCCCGACAGAAGGGACTTCATAAACGTGTCTTCCTCTCCACCTGCCTTTGGACACCGCTTGCCGGGAAGTCGGCGTTTGAAAACGTTGGGACTGTATCTCAGAGCATGCCGCATCTCAGAGCATGCCGTTCATTCACTCCTGCTGCACCACAGCCGACCACTGTGATGCTCTTCTTGCTAAATGGGCTGAAATTTAATATTGCAAATTAGTCTAATCTAATCATTTCACTAATGAAGGTCAAACTACTCAGACTGTAATTTCCTTTAGGGGAACATTAATTTCTGGTCAATAAAATGTGAGTGTGTTTGCTTAATGAATAGTTCTTCCCAATATACTTCAGTCTTACATTGAGTGTCAGTTGTAGGCAAATCCAGATAAATGCCATGTTTGTTTGTTTTTTTAATATATTTTTATTGATTTCAGAGAGGAAGGATGAGGGGGAGAGAGATAGAAACACCAGTGATGAGAGAGAATCATTGACTGGAATTGAACCTGGGGCCCTTGAGTCCACAGGCCATGGCTCTATCCACGGAGCCAAACCAGCTAGGGCCAGATAAATGCCATGTTTTGAGAAGACAAATCTCAGAGACCTTGGGCAGTGGGAAAGGAGTGAATAGACCCAGAAGGTTGTGCCTCACCGTCCAGGGGGGCCTGTTTTGGAGAGGGGGGGTGCTCTCTCTACTGGACCTGCTTCCCTTGTTGTCTGGGTCCTGAGCTAAGAGCTGAGTGTTGGTCATGGAGGGTCAGTGTCTGTGAACAGGGCATTAGTCACAGGGCAGAAAACATGGCCCTTTGAGGGAGGTTTTTCTGTGTGTGTGTGTGTGTGTGTGAAAACAAGCCCGGTGTCACGCGGCTCTTGCTCGCTAGTCAAGCATACTAACGGGAGCACTTCATGCCGAGGGGGATCCGGCTAACTCACAGGGGCTGTCCCTTTTCCTCCTCCTCAGTGGACACAATGAAGCGTCCCAAGCAAAAGGTGAAACAATACCCCACATTCGGACGCTGTAAACCTGCCGAGGAGGAGACGGAGTCACCATTTCTCAATCTTCCTACCACGCTGGTCTGCAAATTTCCCGTTGACATCATGTCCCAGAGTGCTGGAGACAGAGGCTGCTAAGACAACGTGGTCCTTGGTTTTAGAAATCTTTAATCGCTGGGGAGACTAAGGTGTGGCCACTATTTTGCTGTTTCTCTTACAAGGAAGCCCATCCACCCCACAAACCGACTGGACAGCTGACAGCCACGAGGAGCCCAAAGCTGGTTTGACAGTTTGACTGATGGGTCCGACAGATGATGAGACACTCCCTCCCCCCAATTCTGTGGGAACAGACATTGTCAATGCCTTGTGAATACATTGTTTGGAAATGAAAAAAAAAAAAAATCAGTGGGGCACAAAAGGAGCAAGGAAGCAGGCATGGTAACACCTAGAAAAATAGGATGTTGTCTAGATCTCAATTTAGCTTTTGCCTAAAAACATGAGAAATATCATTGGGAAGTACCCATCCCAGTGCCACAGCCATTTCCTAAGGCCGGCCTAGGTTTCTGGAGAGACTATGCTTTCTACAAGAGGGGAAAAACCCCACAAAAATAAAGGCACAATAAAACCTAAAGTTCACTAATATTTTCTGTGGCTCAAAGTTCCAGTAAGAAGTATGTCACGCCCTCGCCGGTGTGGCTTAGTTGGTTGGTGTCGTCCTGTGCACCGAAAATTCACCGGTTCGATTCCTGTTAAGGGCATGTGCCAGGTTGTGGGGTCGATCCCCAGTGGGGGCCGTGCAGGAGGCCGCTGACCAGTTTTGCTCTTATCTTGATATCTCTCTTCTCTTCCTCTCTCACTAAAAAAAAAAAAAAATCACACACAGAAAAGCTGTCACAGGACAACTGTGGTCTGTCTCCCTGAGTCTCCATCTTCAAATCTCAAGTCAATTCAAAAGCATTTTCTCTTAAATAAAGTGTCTTATACAGTGGAAAGCAAAATCCATGGGAAATGGTAAGACACAAATCAGAGAAATACATTTTGTTGTGCCTGCTAATCTGAGCCTGCCCAAAGCCCCGAGAGCCAAAGGGAGTCGGCTGCAGTGCTACGACCTTGTTCTGGCCCACTGGCTGGGAGGCGGCAGGGAGGAAGACATGAGTGGGCAGGAGCCCATGCTGCTCTGGAGCTGCAGGCGCAGGTGAGAGACTCAAGAATGGAGATTTGAGGGAGAGGCAGCAGCAGGAGCCAGGAGAGGCGGGCGGAGGCACAGCAGCTGTCTCACACTAAGGCTGGAGCAATTAAGAGCTTCACAGGCCTGCTCTCTGGAGGGAGCCACGGCCCACCATCTCTCTGGAGAGCTCACAGCTGCCCAAGGCGAAGCCCCTTGCAGGAAAAGGCAGCCTTCACCCTCGGTCCCTTGGTCCCTCCACAGGGAGGTCTCCCTCTAGCAGCATCCAAAAGGACATTTCCGGTAGATTTTATATATATATATGAGGCTCAGTGCACAAAATTCATGCATGGAGGGGGTCCTTCACCCAGCCTGCACCCTGTTCAGTCTGGGACCCTTCGGGGGATGCCCAACTCCTGGTTTAGGCCTAATCCCACAGACCTGATCACCCCTAACGACTCTCTCCTGCTGGCCTGATCACCCCTAACGGCCTCTGCCTTGGCTCCCACCACAGTGGCTTTGTTGGGAAGGACATCTGAAAGACATCCGGTCTATCCAGTCTAATTAGCATATTACCCTTTTATTTACATATGAAAGCACTCAAATTAACTATACTGTGAGAACTCCCCAAAAACTTTTATTTTTTTTTTTGTTCTTTTGACCAGCACACTGCCTGGTACATACTGCCGGGCAGGCATTCAAAAATTTAAAAAAAATAGGCAATTGCTAATACTGAGAGAATGTCACTTTAATGTTTCAGAAAACATATCATTCTTGGAAAGGGCTTGCTCTTTTACGACTTTGGAAAACAGAGGTTTTGTCCTAACTCTTGTAAGCCTCCCGGGATGGGCAGTGTAACACCTCAGATGAACACAGAAGTGCTTTGGAAGGCGGTTAAAAACGCTCAAGAAATTCAAAGTTGTCCTAATTGCAGGGAAGACGGTGGCCTCCGCAGCCCAGGGCTGATTCGCAGCGCTGCGTGACACGGGACATGTCTTCTGTGGCTCTCCCTGGCGGGACCTTCAGGACAGCCCCCTGCCGATCCCTGCAGGTCGCCTGGCGGGACCAGGCCAGAGCAGGTCCTCCCAACAGGGCCTCTGACCTCGTCCCAGATGTCGGGGTAACAGAACCAGAACCAGGTATCAGGGCTCTCCTCAAAGGCCGACTCCCCTCTCCTTCCACTGACCTGGCACATTCCCTGTGCGCTACACGTGGGCAACGTTCTTAAACTATAGTAAAACGTCATTACACCCAGTTCTCTTCAAAAAGTCTTTCCAATTCAATTCCCAAAATTAACTTACAAAATTCTGTGCAAAAACACCAACCTCAAATAAATACAGGAGGGGAAGGAGGGGGTAGCGGGAGGGGGAGGAGTGAGAAGAGCGAAACTGGTTTTTGTCTTTTAAATTAAAAGTTAAAAACACCAGCTGCATCTCAAAGTATTTGTAGGGGAAACGCCTCAGGGCCAAGAAAAGCGGCCCTCAGAGTCCGAGGAACATTCCCCGTGAGGTTGTCTGTGTTCAGAATTCGCAGTGGATGCCCCCGCTGAGGTCCTTCACCACGCCCGCCTTGGCCAGCCGCAGCAGCAGCCTGGTCTCCGTGGTCACGTTGTGCATGGTCTGGAAGTTCATGGCCCCCATGCAGAGGCTGTCGAAGTAATGCAGAGGTGTTCTGGGTTGGCTGAGGTCATAGCCAAAGCCGGCCAAGCTGACTTCGTCACACAGGTGTGTGGCCAGGACAACGGCAATGACACCGACCGTGGGGACGTTCTGAAAAAGAAAGAAGACCCAACCGTCTGAGCACACTTTGCTGCTCCCCACGTGGCACACATGCTGCGCCGGCAATGAAGGCCGTGATTTTAAACACCCCGCCGATGCACAGAGCACAGCACAGGCCAATTAAACCAGAAGGTCTGGGGTGGGACCCAGGCATCACCTGAGAAGCACTGCTCTGGGAGCTGACTTTATTATCACCCCTAACGTGACCAGAAATGTCAATTCTCACCTCCGTGGCCCACAGTTAAAATGTAAAGAACTTTCCCTATCACAGTGACTTCAACTGTCCTGCAGTCAGTTATGAACATCTGTGTATATAAAATAAAAGGCTAATATGATGAGCACTTGACCATCTGACTGGTCACTATGAGCGCACTGACCACCAGGAGGCAGACGCTCAACACAGGAGCTGCTGAGCTGCAGTGACTTGGCAGCAGCGGTTCTCGGGGGACACACCCTGAAACCAGAGAGGAGGGAGCCACGAGGTTCCACCTTCGGCTGTGGGTTATGTTGTTGCTGGGGCTGTTGGCCCCAAATCTGGTTTACTGCACACTGTGCTTGCCTTCCACACCCTGTACAACAGCAACTTAGCAGAGTGTCCTCTCACACTCCGGGACCCCTTTGGGGATGTGGGAGAGCCGGTTTTGGCCCAATCCCTGCAGGTAAGGCCAAGGGACCCCACCTGCTGGAGGGACCCCGCTCACTCCCCAGACGCCCTTTGAGCCACAGTGCCACCCCAGGTGTGGCTGGCCAGAGAGGGACTGTGGGAAGTTGGCTCCAAGGCGTGTCTGGCCCATCTCGCCCAGTCCCACCCCGCTGGCCACTTTAACTAATTTCCTTTCAATGAGCACAAATCTGTGCACCAGGTCACTAGTCTAAAATAAGATCTCAGTGGCCTAAGTGCTAATGTGCTGACTCTACTAAAGAGATGAGTCACCAGGGACGACCAATGAACACTGAGGAGCCCTGAGCAGTGAATAACAGATTCAGCTTCTCATCATGGCCTAGATTTCCCCACTGAAAGATGCATCTGTGGACACAGCTGAGCCTAAGTGAAATATGTACAGAGGTCACCCCTCAAATGCAGACAAGAATAGTTAAAAATAGCAACAACAACAACAACAACAACAACAACAAAATACATACCTTATCTCGGCCCCAGAACCTGGACTGCGGCTCTGAATACTGAAGGATGTCAAAGGCAGTCTCTTTGATAATAACTGGATTCAAAATCCTGAAATGTTTTGGCTGTAATGGGATTTTTTCTGCCACCTGCTTCCAAAAGAAGAGTCGTACCCAAAATGGCTAAGGAAAGAAAGCAAGCGATCAGTAGGGAGATGTAACCGTCTTCCATCAGTGGAGGGGAGAATGCATCCCCGATGACCAGGCCAAGCGTGGTTGGGACCCCTGGCGGGCATGCATTCTGTAGCAAAGTAACGGATCTCTGCAAAGTCTCTATCTTAACTCAAAAGCTGACTCTAAAGGACCTGTTTTTTTGTTTTTTTGTTTGTTTGTTTTTTTTTACAAAGGCGTTTAGTTTATTCTCATCAGTGTTACTGATGTTCTCATGTTCACTTTCCCAGTGCGCTCCTCTCCTTGCAGTAGTTAATGTGCAATCTCACTTACAGGTGAGCCCAGAGAAGGGCAGGTGTGGGCACTCCACGTGGACACAGCAGCTGGCCTGTCCTACGGGAACAGGGGCGGCCAGAGGCCTCCAGTCTTTTTTGCGTTGGTGATTCTCCATTTGCGCTCTTTCCTGGCTGCCTGGGTGGGGGTGGGAACCATGCAGCTCAGAGCGGGGCTCGGGGGATGGGAAGGAGAGGGGAGGGGAGGGGAGCAAAAGCAGCAGGCCACCTGAAAGGGCAGGGTGGGTGGGCACAGGGGTGGCTCCCGGGGTAAGGCACAGCCCTGTCTTTGGCTCTCCTGGTGAGGAATTCCACCCCTGCCCTAGGACCTGGTTTTTGAAGGTGGCATTGGACAAGGAGAGAAACTACAGAACCAGCTCTTGTTTGCAGAGGTATTGCCTTTTTAGGATTGAAAGCCACCATTCTGCCCAGGGAAGACGAAGCCAATAGAGCCAATTCAAGGGTCTTAGTGCTGTGAGTACCCGCTCTGCCAGGCCCTCACCCAGGGTCCTCTCTCCACTTACTCTGTTTCCTTGTCCCGTGAAGTCTCTTGGTAACTAACTCATTTTGTATGTGCTTCATGTCCCAACTAGAACAACTTCTATTCAGTAGAAAGCCCGGAAGACCATGACAACTTGCACTGAATCAAGCTCTGGAGATACAGTCTCCACCACATGAAGCTTCTGTGAAAAGTCTATGTCCCATTACTTGTGTGGACAGCTAATTTGGGCACATGACTATAAGGCACACACACTCCACGACAGCTGGCCTCTGAAGTTACTTTCATCATAACGGGTGGGACTACAAAGTATGTGATTGATGGCCGAAAAGACAAAGAACACGACCAGGTGAGGCCGTCTCCCCCACGCCTGCCCCTCTGGAATGCTGGGAATTTACTCCTGGGAATTTACACCACCCATCAAAGCAGCTTGGGAGATGCTCCTTGAGAAGACTCCCCAGAGATTTTATGTATATCCTTTTGCATGTCCCCAATAATGGTTTCCATTAACCCATGGAAACCTAATTTCTAGAAAAAGCCCAAAAGCTACGGTAGTTCCAGTCTAGTGAATCAATTGAGTCATCAACCTTAGTAATAACAATTTTTGTCCAAAGCTTGGTATTCCCATTAAGTAATGATCTTAATTTCCAGCAAGGAGTTCTGAGGGGTTCCCACAGAGGGAGTGGCTATTTAAAACACAAACAGGAGTATGCATTCCACCGTGTCTGCTTCAAAGTAAAAGTCTGCAGTCACAGTTAGAGACCCCAAGACCCCCTCGCAGGCTGGGTTTCCAGGCTTACCAGGGTTTCGTTCTGCACCATCGCGTGGAGCCAGTTGAAGTCCACACTCTTAAATAAAACAGCGACAAACAAGTCAGTGGAATAATATTCCAAGTCAGACAGCGGGGCGCCCTCTGGGTAAGTCATCCTTATAGTTGTTTTATTTCCAACGTGCTCTGAGTATCCCTCAACTGGCGCGCTGTTTAACCTATATTATACAAAGGACAAGATAAACAGACAAAGCAGGCCATTAGCTACCGTGTCACACCACCAAAGAATTCCCTCCTCGAGAACTCTGCACTTTTTTAGGACCGGGCCTGGGTAGTGGTTGGGATCAGGGTGTCCCTCCCAGCAGCCTCCCTGCCCTCATGCCTCCACCCTTTCCTGGTGCCGGACGCATGCAGCCCTCCTTGCCCTGCGAGATGCCCTCTGAGGGGTGCCCCGAGCTCATCTCTGAATGTCAAGCAATTTGCTCTCTTCCTGTCATATTCAGGCAATCCAAATATATTATATTTGGGGCTTTTTCTGGGCAGTGATGTTTCCTTGAAAGTCTCCCAATTGCTCAGATACCCGTGGGCTCTTGCCAGAATTTCAGAAAGGTAATCAGAGAGGAAAACCTAGAAACCAGGGCCAGGCAGACACAGAGAGGGTTATACATGGACAGGGTCGAACGGGGTGGGGGTGGGAGTGGGGGCAATGGGCACAGGTGCAGCCTGGTCTTAAAGCAAGGATTTGGGACACTTATTATACAACTGTCAGAGCAGTGAAGGCTTTAGAAGGGTGGTGGTTTGGGAGAGAAGTCTAAGAATCCTTCCCAAAGCAATACCACTGCTCACACTGTTACACCGTTTTGTTGTGTGTTTGGTACTTCACACGTACTACGTCACCTGTATCTGACCTTCCTTCTCTATCCCACTTTCTCTCCTAAATCTCAGACACCTACCCCTGCATTATTAAAAGACTAGAGACCCCAAGCACAAAATTCGTGCAAGGGGCTCGGCCCTCACAGCCCCAACTTCGTCCAGAAAGTCATCTGTTAGGACATCCAGAAGGTCGCTCGGTTATCTGGTCTACTTAGCATTTTACTCTTTTGTTATTATAGATAATATTAGACATGACAACAAAGTGTAAGACATGATCCTAGACCAGCTGTTTTTTCCTTTTCCTTCCTGCCCTCCACCCCCTTCCTTTTCTTTTTTAAAATAAAGGACATTAGGAAAACTGGTGAAATGTGAATCAAGACTGTAGATAAGGTGTGCTCTCTCAGTGCTGACTTCCTAATTCTGACTACTGCTCTGTGCTTCTTGCCCTACGAGATGCCCCGAGCTCATCTCTGAATGCCAAGCAATTCTCTCTCGTCCTGTCATAGTCAGACAATCCAAACATATTGTATTTGGAGCTTTTCCTGGGCAGGGATGTTTCCTTGAAAGTCTCCCATTGGGCTCAGATGCCAGTGGCTCGGTATCTTCAAAAAGGTAATCAGAGAGGAAAACCTTGCTTGCAGCCGCCTCCAAGCCCGGCTCCTGTCCTATTGTCTCCTGCCTTCAGTCAAATCCACATCCTACTCTTGACAAGTTTAATTAAGACCCAACTTCCATCAGGCTCCTGGTTTTGCATATCCTTAAGATCGAGACAGTTTACTAAAGTGTGTCAGGAGCCTTAAAAACCATTCAAATATCACCAACCCAACAATTACAGGAATTCTTTGCATTATTTCCAAGGAAATAGTCAGAGATGTACATAAAGACACACACGAGAGCCGAAGCCGGTTTGGCTCAGTGGTAGAGTGTCGGTCTGTGGACTGAAAGGTCCCAGGTTCGATTCTGGTCAAGGGCATGTACATTGGTTGCAGGCACATCCCCAGTAGGGGGTGTGCAAGAGGCAGCTGATTGATGTTTCTCTCTCATCGACAATTCTAGCTCTCTATCTCTCTCCCTTCCTCTCTGTAAAAAAATCAATAAAATATATTTAAAAACAACAACAACAACAACAAAAAAAACAAGACACACACGAGAACGTGCAAAGTGTTTTCACAATAACAAGGAAACTGGAGACAGTCTAAGTGTCCAACAATAGGAGGGTGCTAAGAAACATAAGACACTTATTTAAAGCGACAGTAAACACTTGTTTAAAGGGACAGTAAACACTTGTTTAAAGGGACAGTAAATACTTGGTCAAGTTTGTTTCCCAAAGACATAAAACGACCTCAGAAACTATTCACCACACTATGTTAAAAAAGCAAAACACTTCATAAGAATATAAACGCACTCATCAGTACGTACGTAGAACCAAAGTGGAAAAAAAATACAGCAAATTAATAGCAGTTGGTTTTTGAGCCACAAGTGGCGTTTTCTTCCTTATATTTTCCTATATTTTTAAATCTTCAAGAATAAATGTATTTTACTTTTGTCATCAGAGAGCATCTTAACCAGCTACGCCAAGAAGGATCCCGGCTGGCTCCTTACGGCCTGTTGCGTGTGGTTTCCGCAGCCCAGCCAGCGGCCTGCAGGACTCACCCACACCAGCCCAGCTCCCAAGCCAAGCACCCCACCCACCGAGTCTCCTGTCCTCCTGGCCTCGCCTGGCACAGGCTTCCCCCTTTGCTGGCTTATCTGAACCTCCCCATCCTCCTAAACCTCACCTCTCTGGAAAGTGTTTTGCCAAACTGGGGTCAGTACCGCACAGTCGGGAGCATCGAATCAAATCAGGTTTCTGTCTTCATTTCTTCAACAGTCAACCCCTCGATGGCAGCAGGCGCGTGCAGGGGGCCCACAGCAGTGAGCTAGCTCTAGGGGAGGCAGGCTGGTCCCTTAACCAACGTACCTTATCACCACGTCGAACTGGTTCAGGGCCGGGCCCAGCTCTAGTCCGTGGAGTATCCCGCCGCTTCCGATGACCACGCAGCGCCTACAGCTCTTTGCTTTCAAGTGCTCAGGAAGGTCGTGCTCGGGCAAGAGGTCGAGGAGGCTCTGCACCTTCCCGGAGAACTGCCGGAACCCGAAGGGAGGGTCGTACTTGTACTCGGCCTCGCTCGCCTGGGGGCCCTTCTTCACGAAGGGCGGCAGGTCCGTGCTGTACCTGCGCTCAAACAGCCGCGCCATGGCCTTCCTGGCAAACCCGGGCCTGCACTCCCTCTGCAAGACTTGCTGCGCGTATTTCTGAGCTCTCTGCAATGGAATCACACCGATCTGCGTTCACAACACGGTCAGGCATCAGAAATACACACTTAAGAGGCGACACTCCCCTTCTGATTGTTGTCTTTTAACACAGAACATCTGCTTTTATTTTTTTATTTTTATTTATTTATTTATTTATTTATTTATTTATTTTTAATATATTTTATTGATTTTACACAGAGAGGAATTGAGAGGGACAGAGAGTCAGAAACGTCGATGAGAGAGAAACACCGACCAGCTGCCTCTTGCACACCCCCTACTGGGGATGAGCCCGCAACCAACGTACATGCCCTTGACCGGAATCGAACCCGGGACCTTTCAGTCCGCAGGCCGACGCTCTATCCACTGAGCCAAACGGGTCCCAGCAACATCTGCTTTTAAGAGTTAATTTATGTGAGAAACTTGAAGGAAAAACCTGGGAGGATCACCTGGTATGAGACAGACTTAACAAGAGTATCCTATCTAATAAAGAGAGAATATGCAAATTGACCATCACACCATCACGAATATGGCGGCGCTCAGTCCCCTCAGCCCTGTCAGAGTCCCTCAGTCTTTTCAGCCCAGCCCAGGGTAGGGGGGTGGCAGGTGTGTGGTGCGGCTGGACCCACCCTCAGCCCCCCAGCCGTCCAAGGTCACCTGAGGCTCAGGTAACAAGGGCTGGCCAAGGCTTGCGCTGCCGGCAGTGGCAGCAGCAGAGGTGTGATGGGGGCGTTGCCTTCCCCTGGTCACCTCCCATCTCTGAGGGCTCCCAGACTGTGAGAGGGGGCAGGCCAGGCCGAGGGACCATCCCCTCCAGTGCATGAATTTTCATGCACTGGACCTCTAGTTTATTTCATAAATGATTATTTATTGTTGTATATAGTTTTAAATGTTTGTTCCAGTTGTGTTTTTTCTCAAAGCAGGAAGGACCCTCCATTTCCTACCACCCAAAGCCTAACCCTATTCAAGTAAATTTGGGGGGATAGACATACTTTGAGGTGTTTAAGATTTCATAAAAAATCCCATCACACCTTACCACATGGATGAAGCTTGAAGACATTATATCCAGTGAAATAAGCCAGTAACAAAAATGCAAATAGTGTATGATTCCACTATATAAGGTGTCTAACATAGTCAAATGTATAAAGCAGAGTGGTGGTTACCTGAGACTGGGGGAGGGGAAAGTGTGTTCCATGGGTAGTTCCAGCTCTATAGGATAAATCTGTTTCACAATGTGAGCTTCAGCTTTGTAAGATGAAAAAGTCCTAGAAATCTGTTTCACCTTGTGAATATATACGTAGTGCTTAAAAAATGCCCAACTAGGTAAATGCTATGTTATGTGTTTCTTACCACAATTAAAATTTATTTCCATGTTTCAGGTCCGAATCTGTGCAGGGTGAGGAAACAGGCTTACCTATCAATTGGAGCAATGAGCTTCATAGAGGTGGAAATCACTCTCAGTGTTACCAAGGAATAATGTCATGTCAACACGTAGTTGCCGTGGTATCATATACCATTTTCCCTGTAGATTAGCATTTTGCATCGACAAGGAACAACTATCTGATGCCAAGTACACTAGCCCAGCTGAACCCACAAGGCCCGGAGACACTGCCCACGCCCCACAGCCTTCCCCCTGCCTTAGTCCCGCCAAATGCCTCCTCGGGATCAATCGCTGGGCGGAAGTCCTCCCTTGTCAGAGAGCTTTTTGTTCTCAAGTCCACCCTCGGCTGCCTCGGCCCTGCCTTACCCGTCCCACCTCCAAACCACTTTCATGTGTGTGTGTGTGTGTGTGTTTGTGTGTGTGTGTGTATAGTCCTATGTTTTTTGGAATATTTTTAGGATTGAACATGTCCTTTGAACTATGACAATACTGGATTACATGGATTATTTATTGCTGTATATAGTTCAAATGTTTGCCCCTGCTACCTTTTTTCTCAAAGTCTTATTATTTTTACTAGATTTTTGTATAACATGTTTTTGGCAAGGTGGTATCCCCCCTCCTCCCCAGTTATACTTGGCATACAGCATTATGCTAGTTTCAGCTATACAACACAGTGATTAGACATTTATGTAACGTCTGAAGCGACCCACCCAGTAAGTCTATACCCACCTGACACCATACAAAGTTATTACAATATTATTATGTGCCCTGAGCTGTGACTATTTTTATAACTGCTCCATGACTATTTTTATAACTGCCACTTGTACTTATCAATCCCTTCACCTTTCACCAGCCCTGAAACTCCCTCCCATCTAACAGCTGCCAATGTGTTCTTTGTATCCATGAGTTTGTTTCTATTTTGTGTGTTCACTTATTTTTTTTTTAGGTCCCACAGGTAAGAGAAATCATATGTTATTTGACTTGCTCTGTCTGACTTTTTTCATTCAGCATAATATCCTTTAGGTCCATTCATTCTATCACAGATGGCAAAATTTCATTCTTTTTATGGCCCAGCAATATGCCATTGTATGTATGTATGGGCCACATCTTTACCCAGTCATCTATTGATGGACACTTAGATTGCTTCCATCTCGTGGTTATTGTGAATAGTGCTGCAATGAACAGAGGAGTATATACATCTTTTTGAATTAGTGGGAGAGGCAGGGAGAGAGAGGCTCTGGCCCTGGTTCTGACAAGGGAAGCTCAGATGAGGCTGCAGACACTATGCATGATCACTGTGTCAGGTCACATCATGATGCCTGAGATACCTGGCAAGACTGGCACTAGCATAGGCACTTTGTGGACTCAAGGCAGCCTAACCATAAGGGCAGAGCTGGCATAGCCTGGGCTAATGATTACCTCCCAAACTCCAAAACCACAGCCTCTACAAACAGAGAGCAGCACACCAACACCGGGGAACAGGAGTCTGAACACGAATCAATATCTTCATGAACAGCCAGTGGGAAAGCCCCAGAGGAACTGGTCCCTCTCGGAGCAGCCCCAGAACTGAGGACCAGCCCCCAACCCCACCTGCTCCCCAGCAGGACCTCAATGTCCAGCCAGAGGGGGCAGGCCAGAGGGGCTGCGCATACCAGACGAGCTTGTCTCTGGACTCTGGGTCTGAAGGTTAGAAACAGTAATCTTTCAAGGACAAAAGTCTAGCTCCTCACTACAGAGTGACATTGCGAGCATCTGGTTTTACACGCCTCTGGGACAGAGCGCCACGGAGACCCAGGGAAGCAGGTAACTGACGCGGGACTGGAAGGAGAGGCGGGTGTCCAGGCTACCTGTTGGGCGGCCGCCTTTTCTCTCTAGAAGCTTCGTTTGGAAAGAGTGACATTTCATTCTGTTTCCATGTTGGCCGAGTTCCACTGCAGGCTTCAAACGTAATCTTTTAGACGGCGAGCAGAGCACAAGGCTTAGCATTGTCTTCTGACAGGGCCCTGGCCTCCGTCACAGTGGGTGCCCTCATCAACCCCTGGCAACTAAATGCTCCCAATGCCAGCAGACAGGCAGAAAGCAACAGCAATTCTTTTCCTTCTTGTGTTTTAACTCTTCAGAGACACACAGCCAGCTGAGGAAGCCCCGAGGGGCAATTTCTTCTAACCAGGAACTCCTAGCCCCTCTTTTTCTTCCAAATTATAAAGCCTCGGAGGAGAATCTCACCTTTCTCGGAGAGGATCACCTTGCGAGGGTGTGACAGAGAGGAAGGCTCCTCTCCTCTCTGCAGACAGCTCCCAAGGACTCAGAAGGGTCTGGATTGTATGCACCGGGGTATGCAGAGCATGGGCGACTCTCAGAGATACAGGATCTCCCAGGCCCCTCGAGTCAAGGTGTGGGAATGAGGGCTTCGATTTTTAAGTTTTCCAGGGTCCTGGCCAGATAGCTCAGTTAGAGCACTGCCCTGATACACCAGAGGTGGGTGTTCGATTCCCGGTCAGGGAATTAACCAGTGAACGCCTAAATAAGTGGAATACAAATCAATGTTTCTCACCCCCCCACCCCCCGCCTTCCTTTCTCTCTATAAAAGTCAATAAAGTTAACAACAAAAACCATCTTCCAGGCTGAACTTGCTGGCTGCCCACAATTAAGAATACAGAGACAGCCGAAGCCAGTTTGGCTCAGTGGTAGAGTGTCGGTCTGTGGACTGAAAGGTCCCAGGTTCGATTCCAGTCATTGGTTGCGGGCATATCCCCGGTAGGGGGTGTGCAAGAGGCAGCTGGTCGATGTTTCTCTCTCATCGACATTTCTAGCCCTTCCTCTCTGTAAAATATATATATTTAAAAAAAAAAATATATATATATATATAAAAGAGACAACTGGTAGTTGCAAATGTCAATGCCTGTGATTTGCCAGGGAAAACCAGGGTGTTTTGGTGTTTTTTTTTTTTAATCAAAGTATGTTGCTTTTTGTTTCATATCCTACATATAAGTGAGGCCATGCCACAGTTGTCTTTCTCTGTTAGACTTATTTCATTCACAAAATGCCCTCAAGGTTCATCCACACCATTGCAAATGGCAGAGTTTCCTTCCTTCAGATGGCGGAGTAGTATTCCCTTGTATGTATACATACAACATCTTTCTCCAATCAAACCACAGTATGGTGGTTCCCAGAGGGGAGGGGGAGGGCCATGTTGAAGAGAAAAGTGCAATTTCACCTCTCAACCATGCTTTCAAAGTGTCTGAGCTTTCCTGCAGAGACCACTGTTAACAGCCTTTAAAAGAAAAAAAACTGAAACCTAACAAAACAAAACCACAAGTGGCACATTGAGAGCCACCCCATCTTTAAATAGAAAAGAGAAAACCCACAACCTACATAGCCGCACACCTCAGTGTGACTGCAGGCCAGGCCCAGAGCAAGCAGAGCACGCTCAGCCAACAGAAGCAGCAGGGCCCACACACTGCGAACTGCTGAAGGCCACCCACTGAGCGAACAGTGCCCCCCTCAGGGCTCGGAGACCCTCTTCTGCTAACGCACGCCCACAATCGCTCAGATCTGTCCGATTGCTTTGGACTCACTCCACCGAGAGCCCGGGGGCGCTGTCATTGGGGGGAGTTCTCATTGAACACCACCTCCCAGCCCCTGAGAAAACTATGGTCGCACCAGCCGGCTTCCTCCACCGTTTCCTCTATTCGGTGTTTCTGTTCTTTGTTCAGTGATGCATGATTTCATATCAAATGTAGGAGCTGCTCAGAGTGTGGCATTTCAGGCCTTGCACTCTGCACCTACGGCACTCCAGCCTCACATTCTGCTATTCCCACCCCGAATCCTCAGCGATTTCCAACTCTTGCCTGCCTCTCATTTGGAAGGCCCTGGGAGGCATCTGCCTGTTGCTCCCTCTGTGTGGGACGAAGCAGGACAAGCTGTGAGGACCACTGTAGCATTTCAACAGGGTCAACAATGCTAAAAAGCTACATTATAAAAAATCTCAATAGAATAAAAGACACCCCTCTTTTCACCATGGTTACTGGGTGGTTTTACTTTTTACGTTAATGATTTCTGAACTGAGACTTTCACAAATGTGTGAATTATTTTTAAAAAAAATATATATATTATTGATTTTTTTACAGAGAGGAAGGGAGAGGGATAGAGAGGTAGAAACATCGATGAGAGAGAAACATCGATGAGCTGCCTCCTACACATCCCCCACTGGGGATGTGCCCGCAACCAAGGTCCATGCCCTTGACCTGAATTGAACCTGGGACCTTTCAGTCCGCAGGCTGATGCTCTATCCACTGAGCCAAACCAGTTCAGGCAATGTGTGAATTACTTAACTGCCCTATTATGCCTCCCTTTCCCCACAAATTACAGGGGACTTTCCACTGTGGTCATTTCTGTATTATCTGAATTTTGGGTGTTATTTTCATAATTGTAAAAAAACAATCTTGAGAACTGGGTTGATGTGGTGGTCACGGTGGGCTGCCTCGGGGGTTTCCACACCTTCTCTGGGGAACCACAGTTGTAGGCTGGCCCTGCCTATCAGGTACCTCCATCATCCTCGTCAGTGATTGGTCAGGAACCCTCACTGGAGCCAATCAGGGCACGGTACTGGCAGCTATTAGAGTCTGTTACCGGCCCAGCAGTACATGTTGGCTCCATAAGCCTCAATGGAGGACTCATATTCCTGTTTCAGGGGGAATTTTCCTGTTTCTGTCTATTGGTAGACATGGAGAGTTGAACAGGAAGTATCTGTCCTACTCCTCCAAGGAATTTTAAACTTTCCTGAAATTTCCTGTTGTTTAACTGGATTTTCTGTACAACGTGGAATTCAAAGATAAGGAAAAAACAACACTGTGGTTTAAGAAATATCTCCCTCTCCCTCTGGAGTTTAATATAGATAAGTACATATTAATTAGTGTAACACATTAGCACACAATCCCTATCTCTCAAGGGCTTGTCTGTTGGATGGTGAGGAAGACAAATAAATAGTCAAAATACCACAGTGGTGGCTCAGTTGGTTTACCCATCCTCCCATACACTAAAAGGTTATGGGTTCGATTCCCAGTGAGGGTACATACCTAGGTTGCGGGTTTGATCCCAGTCAATGCACATGGGGCAACCAGTTAATGTTTCTCTCTCACATCGATGTTTCCCTCATTCTCTCTGTCAAATCAATAATAATAAGAAAAAGAGCATACATCCACACATTAGATTAGTGGGGCATGCCTGCATGCAGAATGGCAGTGAAGGAGCTTTCCCAAGTGGCTGCTGCAGATGGCAGAGAGGCAGGCCCCGTGCTTGATGGCCGAGACCATCTCCTGGGCACCTGATGGCCACCATGGCCAAGCAGGTACTCCTGGGCCAGAAGGTGGTGGTTGTGCACTGTGAGGGCATCAACCTTTCTGGCAATTTCTACAGTTGAAGTACCTGGCCCTGCCACTTCGAGCCCCCAGCCACATCTACCATCAGACCGAGACTGTGTGGAGCCTGCTACTCTGCAAGACCCAGCAGGCCAGGCCGCCCTGGGTTTGACGGGATCCCGCCACCTACAAGTAAAAGCGAGTGATGGTTCCCACTGCCCTCAACGCTGTGCTTCTGAAGCCCACACAGAGGGCTGCTGCCTGGGGCGCCTGGCTCACGAGGCTGGCGGACATAGCTGCACGGAAGGAGAGGAGGGAGAGGGCCAAGGCCCGCGGCCAGGAGGAAAAGCAGCTCCTGAGGCTGCAGGAATGGGCCCAAAAGAATGTGAAGGGGAACTGACAGACACACAAAGGTCCTGGAGACCATGGGCTCCTGGTCTGAGCCCCATTAAAAAGAAAGAAAAGTGGGGCAAGGAGGCATCAACCCGGGGCAATGGGTGAGAGCACGGAGTTCCAAAGGGCAATCTTAGGTCATGATTCCTTTTCCTGATTTCCCAGAAACTACATATTTTTATAAACACTATCTCTGTTCTCAAATAACTTATACTTTAGATGGGACAACAAAGGCTTGCATAAATTATTATAATGCCAGGTGGAGAGTGGCACGTTTCAGAGGAACTTCAGGCACTGCTGAAGTCCAGGGGAAGGTCACTGAGCTGGGGACTAGTGGAGCCAGGCCAGGGAAAGCCCCAAGTCCTGAAACTGGCCCGGCGCTGCAGCCAGGCGCTGGTGCGCTGCCGAGAACCACAGGGTCTCAGGGCGAGAAAGAACCTAAAGGCCCCTGGGCTACCCGCTGCCTGATAGCTGAGTTCTACCCACCGAACCTCCACCACAGCAATCCTGGCTTTGCTTAGAGACCTCCAGAGACTTGCCACAAAGGTGGCCTATTTATTCCACCTTTGGCCGCCTGGGACCGCCAGACCCTTTCAGCTTGGCCCCATCGCCTGGTCTGCATCTCTGACACTGAGGCCACCCAGGCGGGGCGACCCTCCATGGCCCAGCACTCTGGCTGCTGACAGTAGCTGCTATGTGGCCTGTACCAGGTCTTCTCTCCTTCAGGTCCCCATTCCTTCCGAGGCTCCTCAGGGACATGGTCTCGAGTCTCTTCTCTGGTCATTCGCAAACGTTACTAAGATTCCTGGGGGGAGCCTTAGAGAGTGACGGCCATAATGTCCAGAGCACTCATCTGCACCCCGCAGGGAAAGCACTGTAGCTCACGGGAAATGGTGGTAGGCAGCCACGGCACATGTTGGTGCAGATGGTGCCGGCCTGGCACTAAAACCACCAAGCTGATTTTCACCCCACGTGTCCCTACCCCACAGGCATCTTCCCCATCTTGTATGTATGAAGTGGTGTGCTAGAGCCTGGCAGTAGAGAGCTCACCTTTCTCAGCTAATCCCTACTCAAGAGCAATTACCTTTAGAGCTGGTCAACAGTGTGCAGAAGGACGCACCGAGTGTGGAGAGTGCAGCTCACAGAAAGGGAAGTGCTCACAGATACGAGCATTTAGGCCTCTCCCAGGAGACAGACGGAGACCGGACGTCTAAAAACGCTACCCGAGAGAGCTGCGGAGGGCCTTGGAGCGGAAAGGGACTTGGGGATGTCCGAAAGCCAGCCAGATCGGGAGGAGAGGGAAGGCCCGAGCGGTGGCTACTGGACACATCCTGCTCCAGCCAAGCACACGTGCTCATGCTGATGAAATGCTGAGTCCGCGAATGTCAGAGGCAGAAGCAGCGAGGACAGGAAGGCTCCGTGATCAGCAAGACCCCTGAGACACAGTGTCTGCATAGGCCAAGCTGTGTGTCTAACCACACTCTCTCCGTTTACTTCGGTGTCTGCACCACTAAGAGTGTGAGGCACTCAGGATAGAGAGTTTAAATCGGAACCATGGGAAGAAAAACCAGGATTAGTAGAGGGACGTGTGGATATTATCTAACTCACCTTGAAGGACCACCCTACCACACAGATGCTGTTCTCTACATTGCACAGCTAAGAACCCTGGGTCTCAGAACAATGCAGTGCCTTGCCCGAGGTCACCTTGCTCCTAAGTGACATTTACATTTGATTCTACGTCAGGAACTTCAGCTCTCTCCTCTCTGCCCCACACTGTCCACCTCTTCTGGCTTCTTCTCCTGGACTCCCGACCCAGGCAGAGCGCAGGGTCATCAGGAGCTTAGACTCTTAACGATACTGCTGGGCCCAAGCCCCGACTCCACCTCTTACTCGCCATGGTAACTGTGCACAGGTGACCATCTCCTGTCCTCCACGGCCTCAGGTGGGGGATGGGATTAATAACAGTGCCTACGTGCCAGGGCTGTTCCGAGGGCTAAATGAGTTTACATGACTAACGCACTTTTACAAGTTACACAGTGCACACTAAACTAGATGAATTAACTAAACTAGATGAGTTAACTAAACTAGATGTGAACTTGGGCAAGCAGCTTAACCTCCTAGGCCTCCCTCAACTGTAAAATGGGGAGAATAGAGAGAAATCTCCCAGGCACAGTAACTAACTACCACATGAAAAGCACCTAAGTATGCGTGGTTACCATCACGCTACCTTACTTAAAATCATCTCTTCTTTCATCCAAGGCTGGACGTTACTGGATAATTTAAGCACTCATATAATCAGGGAAATGAGCATTTAATAGGTCAACTGACTTAGAAAAATAAATTTAAGAAAAAATCTTGAAATACAATGTGAAATCATTAGAAAGAAGATGAAATACAAGAATGACAGAAGGTCCTAAAATAAATCCTTCCCATTCTGTTTTAAGAATGTGACACTGACTGCACTGGGGCATGCCAACCACATGACAGGTGTCCTTGAGTTCAGCGAGCGGAATGCTCCCTGACCCCGTGACCTCAGTCACAGAAGGATGCTGTGGGCTAGGGCGCAGAGTCTGTTGTGGTTTAGGCTGGGTTGTCCCTAATTCTGGTTTTAGAGTGCTAAGACTAAGTGCTAAGTGTTTTCCCCTCTGTTTATAATTTTAATGAACATTTACTTATAATACGTTAGAGATGATACTACTGTTTAAATGTGTGTTTGGAAATGTCTTCATTTAAACCACAGCAGTGGGATATCTAACCTTGACGCGGTCAGGATCCACATAATGCACTTTTTTCATATCACATTCTTCATTAATATAATTTATCTTGAGGATATAAAGGATCCACACTCCAAACACAAGAAGTATACACCTAGAAAAGAAAAACCAATTAGTTGTATGATGCAGTCACGTGACCATCAAGAGTGATCATGGGAAATAAGTGAAAACCTAACCCAAATTCAGTTTGTCTGCTGGGCAGCGCCAAAGTATTGTCTTTACAGTTGACCTCAGGGTGACCCCTTAAGACACTACCTATTCCCTGAGAAGATAAATTAGTCATTTATCTGGACTTTGTTAAACTTTGCCAGGTTACTGAACATAACAAAACAAAATAAAATCAAGTAATAGATTTTTTATTCTTATTTTTTATTGACAGTGAGGTTCTAAGTAGGTCTCTCTCTCTATCTCTCTTTTAAACATTTTTATTGATTTCAGAGAGGAAGGAAGTGAGAGATAGAAACATCAATGATGAGAGAGAACCATTGATCAGCTGCCTCCTGCATGCCCCCTACTGGGGATCAAGCCTGCAACTGGGGTATGTGCCCTGACAGGAAATCATGCCATGACCTCTAAGCTTGACGGTTTTGTGTTGTTTTTAAAAGAAGGGGAAAAGGGTGTTAAAAGCAGGCCCAGACCCCTCAGTACTGTAACTCCTGGTCATGAGTCTGTCTTGCCCACACTGGGAGGAGCATGGGGTGCAAGTCTTGTCTATTCTATTCACTGCCACATGGCCTGCACCCAACACAGTGCCAGGCATGAACAGGCCTCAATAAATATTGGTTAAATGACTAAAAGGAGAAGGAAAGTGGTATAGTAAGTATTTATGAATGTACATTTCCTTTCCTCACCTTTTTAAATCTATTCCTTCTAAATTAGTGAAGTGAGATGTGAAACCAGATTTCAGAGCTCTGTTTCTACAGTTAGACATGAAAAAGGGGGTAATTTTCAACTTGGTTCAGCTGGTACCATACATATAAAACCAACAAGTTCCTCCTTTCACAATCCCAACACTTATTAGGATGTAAAGGTGACCTGGCTGAGGCACCTGTCATCCTTTTTAGCATTCAATATTTAATGCTATTCAAATGCCTTTAGGGGTTTTTAATTAATCATGTTTTAGATTAACTTAAATAGCTAAGGGAAAAAGCCCTCTTTTGTTATATAACGGCAGGAAGAGCTGTGCACGGTCAGAGCTGCCCTCGTGGGCATCCGAGCTCAGGTGCAGAGCCTGAGGGCCCCTGGTGGGGCACTGCCCTCTTACCAAGTGCAGTCTGATGCACGAGAATCCAGGGCACCCGCACGGACGCACTAATGAATGTGCCTTTAAGTGATCCTCTGACCAAGTGTGATCACGAGTAAAAGTCATCGTTAGGGCTCTTATTGAACGGTATTCCCAGTTCTACACAGCTGACCCAAATTGGGGGATCTTTTGGCCCAAGAGCTCATACTTACTTGAAAATGTCTTTTAACAACATGTTGGGTCTTCGCATCTTGTTCTGAGCTCGGGTGTACCATTGCAGGGAGGGTCTTGTGTAATCGCTTCTCAGTTTCGCACAGTGGTACTCGCTTGGCATCGCTATGAAGAGGGGGGAAGAGAGCAGGAGGAGGGAGAAGAGGGACCGTTTAGGTGAATGATACTTTTAAAGAACCTTCATGTGGCACATCCATACCAAGGACTGCTACTCAGTCATAAAAGGAGTGATCTACTGATACATGCAACAACCTGGATGAATCTGGAAAGAATTATGCTGGGCCAAAGACTAAGAGGTCACATATTGTACGATTACGTTTACACAACATTCTTGAAATGACAAAATTATAGAAATGGAGAACAGATTAGTGGTTGTCAGGAGTCATATAAGGAATGGTGGGTACGACTATAAAAAGGCAACATGAAGGAACCTTGTGGCGATGAAAATGTTCTGTAACTTTGCCTGTATCCCACTTGTGATATGTACTACGGTTTTGCAAGATGCTACCAGTGGGGAAAACTGAGTAAAGATTACACAGGATCTAAAAAAAAAAAAAAAAAAAAAAAAAAAAAAAGCCCTATCTGGTTTGGCTAAGTGGATAGAGCATTGGGCTCCAGACCAAAGGGTCCCAGGTTCAATTCCTGTCAAGGGCACATACCTTGGTTGTAGGCTCCTCCCCTGGTTGGGGTTCGTGCAGAAGGCAATCAATCAATGTGTTTATCTCACATCGATGTTTCCCTCTGTCTTTCCCTCTCTTCCACTCTCCCTAAAAATTAATGGAAAAATATGCTCAGGTGAGGATTAAAAAAAAAAAAAATTACACAGGATCTCACTGTATTATTTCTTACAATTGTATGGGGATCTACAATTATCCCATAATAAAAAGTCTATTTTTTTTTTTAAACAAGCCTTTACCTTTTAGAGATACGTGTGGAAATATCTATAATAATAAAAGTGTGATATGCTAATTAGACTGGAGAGCCAAACGACCTCTGGATGACCTTCCAGGCGAAGCCGGGATTGCAAGGGTGGGCGGCAGCCACTGCGGCTGCAAGGGCCGAGCCCCTTGCACAGATTTTGTGCATCAGGCCTCTAGTTTATAGATAAAAGAAGAGAAATGAGATTTGCTTCAAAAAAGTCAGGAAGGGGCTAAGTATGTGGTGGGGAAACAAATGACACAAGACTAGCTTTACACTGGTTATTGTTGAAGCTGGACGATGGGTACACGAGCTCATATAAATCTCAATAATCTCCTACTTTTTAAAATCCTCACCAGAGGATTATCCCCCAACACCCCCATTGATCTTTAGAGAGGGAATGGAAGGGAGGGAGAAGGGGGAGAGAGAAACATCGATATGAGAGACACACAGACTGTTTGCCTGCTGCAGGTACGTGCTCTTGACCAGGAATCGAACTGCAACCCTTCAGTCAGTGGGCCGACGCTCTAACTACTGAGAAACCGACTAGAGCTCTTACACTTAAAAAAAAAAATTTTTTTTTATTCTTCTTTTTAGAGGGGAAAGAGAAGAGGAGGGGGAGGGGGAGAGAGAGAGAGAGAGGGAGAGTTAGTGGAGCAACAAGAGAGAAGGGGGCCTGGGTCCTTGGATAATCCCAACGGCAGAGCCGCCATTCCACCTTGGACTGCCTGCCTCGGGCTGGGACATGATGCAGAAATAAATTTCTGTCTTGCTCAAGCGATTGTTAGTTAAGTGCAGTGACAGATCTTAACTAATATAGGTACCTATTGCTATAATAAATTTATATATCGATAAGAAATGTCTTTACTATACTTAGTCTCTTAGCCAGGAGGAAGTTCTATCTCATTATTCACTTTATTTTCCCCATTAGGATTGTGCCATTTTGTTTGGGTGCTGGGGGGGGAGGGGGGGAGAATCATCAAACTGACATTCAAGTATTTATTTATTTTTATTAGTATAAACAATCTCTCCCTCAAGACCAATTCTGTGTAGCATAGAGTGTAAGAATTTTCAAAGATATGTATGATTCTACTTGAGCAGTTTCAGAAAGATGGTGCCCAGGACTGCACTAGTAAATCCTTGCTGAAGAACCTACTGAATTCTTTCTTAAAAATAAATAATAAATAAATAAATAAATTAAAATATATATATATATATATATATATATATATATGTGATTTTTTACAGAGAGGAAGGGAGAGGGAGACATCAATGAGAGAGAAACATCAATCAGCTGCCTTTTATACCTCCCCTTTCTTCCCCCTTGGATGTGCCTACAACCAAGGTACATGCCCTTGACCGGAATCGAACCTGGGACCTTTGAGTCCGCAGGCCGACACTCTATTATCCACTGAGTCAACGGGTTAGGGCCTGAACTCTTAAATGAGAAGTTAGAGCTGAGACCCTGGAAGGTGGTCAAACGAACGCCGCTACGTGTGGTTACGGACATTCATGCTCAGCCAAGTGGAGCTCCAGAGAGCGAGGCTGACGGTGGTTCCAGAAAGAGCCCAGCCTCCCCTGCTGCCCATGCTGGTGCCCTTGGCTCTGTACTCTGCCCCTCGGGCTGTAAGCCCTGTGAACAACGTGTCCCAGACCCTGCTGGCCAGCGGGCCGCCGTGAGGCTGTGCTGTGGCACGGACATCCCGGAGAAAGACTGGGAGACAAGAGGAAAGAAGCCGCCTTTCCACTCTCCGGACTTGGCGCTTCGGACAGGACCGCCACAGTAGCAGGCGAGGGGGCTGAACATGTGACTCCAGCAGGGGTGGTGGGCACCTGGCACCCTTGGTTTCGACTGGACACAAGTCAGGGCATGTCCGGGAGCTCTCTGATAAATTTGCACGTCCACCCAGGGTGGCAGCAGCTTTTCGATCGGGGCTAACGCTGCCTCCTCACTTTGGCGGCTACAGGCCTGCCAGCATCTGTAATCAATGCCCTGCAGGAGAGCCCTCTCCGCCTCAAGTGTCTGTATGGTTTCTGGTTTCCTGTGGGCATGACTGGTACATCAGGTGATCCTCCTCTGCACTTTCAGGAAGTGACTCGAGCAAGGAAAGGAGGGGCTCTGGGGTGACAGGAGGATCTGCAGTTCTGAACACGGTCCTCTTCTCACCATCACTGCCACAGACCACGCTAAAAAAAAAGTTGTGGGTTTGGGGTTTGTTTTGCACGAGATCTGTAGCCTGACACTGGGCTCAGCCCCTCCACCACCAGCTGTGAAGTGCTGAGCAAGTGCCTGACTCTGGCAGCTCAGTTTCCTATCTGTGCAATGGGTGTAACATTACCTACCACAGAGGGCTGACTGGGGAGCAGTGGAGGCGCATAACCGGCGCTACCTAAGTGCTGGCCGTGGCTATTGTTACCGTACAGGAGGGGAAGTTACAGGCAGCGCCCAGCTCTGTTTTTCACAACGCCATCTGGCAGGGCTTGAGGGCACTCGCCGTTCTGCAGTTACCCTCACTGCTGGCCACAGGCGTGGGTCCTCTCTCCAGCCCACTCCACTTCCTTTCCGGGATATCTCTGGAGAGGCGGCCTCCTCCGCAAGCCGCTCATGCACTCGGCCTAGGTCAGGTCTCGTCAGGATCCTCTCTCCCCGCTAACACGTTTCTAAATGCTTGGCTTCCTCCACCGGCCCCCGTCTTCCTTCACGCTGTCCGCGCACCACGCGTGGGAGGCCTGGACACGCTTCCTTCCCGACCTACAACCTTCAACCCCCCACACGCACATCTTGTGACGACAGGGCCCCGGTTTCCATTCTCAGCACAATGTTCTCTTTGTCCCACACTATTCACTCAAGATTTAACCTTTTGCCTTTCACGCTCCTCCCCTCCAGGGAGTGCACCTCCTAATCCGTATCTCTAGGCAGACCCCTCCCCCCAGCTCAGACCTGTGTCTCTATCGCCCTGCCTACTAGCTTCATCTCAGGCCAGGTAGCACCTGGCACCTTCCTCTACCATTGCTGCACCTTCCCCTCAGCCATCCACACGGGAAACCTGCAGGTTAACCCCAGACTTTCCCCTTTCACCCCCAGCCCCAGTCACTCCCAGGGCCTCTCAGTCATGCCTTCTTGGATGTCCCATGCCCACTGACATCCCCCTAGAGGAGGTCATGTACCTGGCTCCCCACCTCAATGTTGTCCTCTCAAAGCCGTCTTTCTGAAATATATTACCCGGTTGGTAGTTTCCAGCTCACCTCAGATCCCAGGACGCCAGGTGACACACCTGTCTGTCACACTCTAGCCTCAAAGCTACTGCTGGAAGCCTGGAGGCGCCCGAGGATTGCCTCCGTGCCCTGGCACATGGCCTGCAGCCCCCGTGGGAATCCCTTCAACCATCTGCCTGGTGAGCTACTTTTCATCCTTAAACACCTTCCTCTGTGGAGACTGTTTTTCTTATGCCATAGCTGTCTCGCCGGGCACTCGCGCGCTATCTGTGTACCACAGTGGACTGGAGTTTCTGTTCACATGTCGGGTCACCTCTATCTTTTCACGAGCTCCTGGTGGCTGAGCTGCCGGCCAGAACTTGGTTCGTCTTTGGATCTCCAATGTCTAGGACAGGGTGCAGCACCTAGCAGGCCCTAAGAAGCATCTCCCATTGAGTGGAATGTGTATTGCATGCCTGTTGTCCATCACTGGATAGGATACCCACCCCCAAGTCCCCAAAATGTATTTTCTCAATTATACTTAAGATTAAGACTGAAGTTAAATGTTAAGGGAAATTATAATAGCGAAGAATAAAGCATGTGTTCTACTGAAACATCTAAAATACCCTATAAGAGCTGAAACCGGTTTGGCTCAGTGGATAGAGCGTCGGCCTGCGGACTGAAGGGTCCCAGGTTTGATTCTGGTCAAGGGCATGTACTTCGGTTGCGGGCACATCCCCAGTTGGGGGTGTGCGGGAGGCAGTTGATTGATGTTTCTTTCTCATCGATGTTTCTAATTCTCTATCCTTCTCTCTTCCTCTCTGTAAAAAATCAATAAAATATATTAATAAAATAAAATACCCTGTAAGAAAGAATCTGTTGGTAAATTATGGTACAAACCATATGGAATATGTCATAGTCCCTAAAGCCTGGCTACACGAAGCTAGTGTCTCAGGAATCATACATGTGAGCCTCTTCCACTCAGACTGC